GTTCAATTTCATTTTCTTTACAATCTATTTTTCTGCATGAGTCACCAACAGTAAGTTCTTCCATCTAAGCTTCTACCTATGTTTGGACTAGAAAGGACTTGAGGGACCCAGCCTCTAATTACAACTTTAAAAAAGAGGCTGGGCATGGTGGCGCATGCCTTTAGTCCCAGCACTTGGGAGGCAGAGGCAGGCGGATCTCTGTGAGTTCAAGGCCAGCCTGGTCTACGCAGTGAGTTCCAGGACAGCTGGGGCTACAGGGAGACCCTGTCTCCAAAAGACCAAAAAAAAGAAATTTACTTATTATTTTTATTTGATGTGTATGAGCACATTGCCTGCATGTATGTAAGTGCACCCATGTCATGCAATGCCCTCAAGAGGTTAGAAGAAGGTATTGGATCCTCTGGAACTGTAGTTATGAACAGTTGCTAAGCTGCCATGTGGGTGTTGGGAACTGAACCCAGGTCCTCTGCAAGAGCAGCCAGTTCTCTTAACCACTGAGCCATCTCTCCAGCCCTCCCTCCCCCCTTTTTAAGACAGGATCTCATGTAGCCTAGGCTGTCCTGGAACCTGGCATGTTGCTTGACTTTCCAAACCTTCTGTACCCACCTCCTGAGTGCTAGGATTACAGATGTGCACCACCATAATTTAGTTCATGAGATTTGGGAAACTGAACTCAAGGATTCATGCATGTTAAGCAAGCACTCTACCAACTGACCTACATCCCCAATACAATTGGCAATTTAAAAAAATGAAAGTGAAAATTAAAACCCCAAAAGAGGAAGGTGTTTTAAAGATGCATTCATCAACTAATATTGTTCAAACATAAATTCAACTGTCAAGTCTAAAATTAACATTCAGGAAAGTTGCTGGGTGCCAACAGAAGGTGTCATTCCCTAGCGATACCTTCTGGTACCCTATCTACTTTGGAGCATCATTTCTCCTCCAGAACCGAGACCACCACATCAAGAAACTATAATTATAAAATGGCAACTGTGTATATGTGTGTAGAATTGGGTTAGGTTTTATTCCAAACAGAAAAAGACAAAAGGCCTAAATTAGAAATGTTAAAAATCATGAGGAAGCTACAAAATAATTGTTCCATGGGCAAGAACTGAATTCTTTTGATTTCCAACTTAAATGTTCAGGAAAGAAAATTTTCTTCTAAAGAGCTACATGTAATGCCAAGGAGGAAGAGGAAAGAAAAAAAAATCCTCTATAAATAACACTTTTAATCATTCCACAATTAAAAGAAAAAAAGTGAGAAAGGGGAGGTAAGCGTACAGATTACCTATACAGGTGTCTGTATAGACTGGTGAGATAGATACTATTAACCAGAAAGACTAAAATGAATTGAACAGATTGCTTATGAACAACTGACAAGTTATACAGTGATCCATAAACACTAGTGTAAGACAGCTAAAGCCAGGAGCAGTGGCACATATGCCTATAATCCTAGCATTCAGAAGGTTGAGGCAAGATGATTTTGAATTTGAAGGCCAGAGCTCAGATAGGATAGCAGCAAAAAAACAGTAACTATTCTCTCTCTCTCTCTCTCTCTCTCTCTCTCTCGCTCTCGCTCTCGCTCTCGCTCTGGCTCTGGCTCTGGCTCTTACTCTTATTCTCTCCTTCCCCTCTTCTCTCTAATCTCTCCCCAACCCTATCCCTCACTGTCACTAGCCTAAGATTTCAGGGATAGGTCTAGAATTTGTAATGCTAATTACTCTTGCCTTTACTTCTCCTTCACATCTCCCATTCATGATTCAAGGACTTTCTTTTCCCCTTAGAGACAAAAGTTATGCAATTTGGGAGTCTTTTAGATAGACCCACTGAAGGGTACTCCAATTGCCTCACCCTGAGTCCCTGGTTCAGCATGGAAGAAGTCAGAGTGGTCGGCATCCCTATTCCCTATTGGCAATTTGGGTAACCCCTTCAGAGGATGGAGTTTTAAGAATAGGAGGTAGGAACTGGCTAGGCAGTTAGGATAAAAAGACCCCAAAGAAATGTAGCCAGTTTCTTGGCTAAAAGTCCAAATGTCGTTGGGCCTGTTAGCAACATACTGTTCCAAGGCCAAAAATGTCAAAAGTATTTGGGAGTTTGTATCTAATCCTTAAAAGACTTTAGAGTTACCTCTTCAGAGGGGGGAATGTTGGAGGGGAGGGAGTGGGCATGGATTTGATCAAAACACCTTATATGCATGTATGAAATTCTCAATAAAGTTTTTGTAAAAATTAAAAAAAAAAGATTTCAGGGATGTCAGAGACAGTATGAATTTCAAGAATCTACTTGATATTTCATAGAATATAAAAGTTATGGGCTGGGGATATAACTCATTGTTAGAGCATGTAGGAGGCTCTGGATTCAATCCCCAGTAAGAAAGAAAGGGAGGAAGGGTGGTTAGATCATCTACTATCACCCTACCTTCATATATTTTTACCAGTTACTCAAATGAAAATGTAGTCTTCTGGGGCTGAAGAGATGGCTCAACAGTTAAGAGCATTGACTGCTCTTGTAGAGGACCCAGGTTTGATTCCCAGCATCCACATGTTAGCTAACAACCACCCCTAACTCTAGTTCCAGGGGATCCAATGCCTCCTTCTGACCTCAGAGGGCACTGCATGACATGGGTGCACTTACACACATTCATGCAATACACTCATACACATAAAATAAAAACAAATAAAATATTCAAAAGAAAATATAGTCTTGTTTATATTTAACAATAATACAAAGATATGAGTAATAATCAACCATTTTTTTTAAAAAGCCATAACTAACAGGACAATGCCTACAGGGATAAATGTAAAGTTCTCAATTACATTTAAAAAATCAACCACAAGAGAGCTGGGGCTAGAGTTCAGTGGTAAATTGTTTGTTTTGCATACATGAGGTCCTACATTCACTCCCCAGTAGTGGAAAAAAAATCAACTACACACATTATTGTGACCTTAGGTCTTAAGTGGCTGGATATGTAGTTCAGTTGGTAGAGTATTTGTCTAACAAGTATGAAGTCCCGAAGTTTTATCCCTAGCACTGCATAAACTGGGCATGGGAGTAAACCTTTATAATCCCAGCACTCAAGAAGTAGAGATAGGAGATCAGAAGTTTGAGGGCTTCCTTGGCTAATAGTGGGCCTGAGTCAGTCTAGGTTTCATGAGACATCCTCTCAAGCAAAAAATAAAATAAAATAAGGCCAAGGGGCCATCGGGATGGCTCAGTAGGTGAAAGCACTTGCCTCAGGGCTAATGACATGAGTTCAATCCTCAGAACCCATATAAGATAGAAGGAGAAAGCCGACTCCACAAAGTTGTCCTCTGACCTCCACAGGCATGCCATGGCACAAATGCACTCCCTGCCACCAAACATACAAATAAGGACACATCACTTAAAAAAAGAAGGGGTTCTGGAAAGATGGCTTAGCTGTTAAAAGCAGGTCCAGAGTTCAATTCCCAGCAACCATGCTGGGCAGTTCACAAATGCCTGTAACTTAGATTCTGGGAAATCTGATGCCCCTGGCTTCTGCAAGCACTTATATTTACATGCACATGCCCACACTGAGACACACACATATATACATAATTAAAAATAAATCTTTAAGGGGCTGGAGAGAAGGCTCAGTGGTTAAGAACACTGGTTGTTCTTGCAGAAGACTCAGGTTCAAATCCCAGCACCCACATGGCAGCTAACAACTGTCTGTAAATCTGATAGTCTCTTCTGTCCTCCTCCGTGGGCATTGCACGACATGGATGCATACACGCAGGCAATACATACATACACATAAAATAAAAATAATAAAAAAGCCAGGCGTGGTGGTGTGCACCTTTAATCCTAGCACTTGGGAGGCAGAGGCAGGCGGATCTCTGTGAGTTCAAGGCCAGCCTGGTCTACATAGTGATTTCCAGGACAGCTGGGCTACAGAGAGACCCTGTCTCAAAAAGAAAAAAAAAAAAAGAAAAAAAAAGAAAGAAAAAAAAAGGCCAGGTGTCTACGCATCTGGGATCTCAGCACTAAGGAGGCAGAGGCAGGCAGATCTCTGTGAGTTTGAAGCCAGCCTGATCTACACAGAGAGATCCAGGTCAGTCAGGACTACATAGTAAGATCAACCCTGTCTCAAAAAACCAAAAAAGTAAACAAGGAAACAAAAAAGACCATCCCTAAGATTTTCAGTACAATGCACTTTCATATTATGAACACACTTTATCACCAAAGAAGCATATTCAGGAGAAGGCAACATTTAAACCTGAGTATACATCAAAGCAGCTTAAAAATCATTTCTTTGACATTTAAAAATTTTTTTTAATTTTATATGTATGAATGTCGTTATGCCTGCATCTATGTAAGTGTACCCATGTTGTACAATACCCAAAGAGGCTAGAAGAGGGAGTCAGATCCCCTAGAACTGGAGTTATGGAGTGTTATTAGCCACCATGTGGGTGCTGGGAATCAAACCCAGGTCCTCTGCAAAAGCAGCTAGTGCTCTTAAACAATGAGTCATCTCTCCAGCCCCTTCTTTGACATTTTTACATTTACTTATTTATTATTAGTTTGTGTATATGTGTGTAGGTCAGAGGACAAATTTGCAGTCAGTCTTCTTCTACCTTTTTGACACTGGTGCTTTAGTGGTGAGCATGGCTACTTTCCGTCCATCGTTACATGGATTCCAGGAGACAGAACTCAGGTCAGGCAGCCTTTACCCTCTGAGCCATCTTACTGGCCCATCTTTGATATGTTTTGAAAATGAATACTTTTTCAAGAACTCCAAAAGCACAGAAACATTTTCAGAAAAACCAACATCAAAAGAAAATAATACTTTTAAAATGAATGTCTCATTTTTTTCTCAAAAAAACCAAAATCTATACTTTAAGTTTAGTACCTTTATCAAGAACAGGAGACAATTATATGCCAGTCTGTCCCAAGAAGAAATCTGCCTTCATTAAACACTTAAATGACAGTGCTATTTACTATTCCTAAAATTTCCTTGTGAGAAAAAGGTGCCTACTTACCCAGTATGGATAGGTGACTGTGGTAACACTGATTCCCTCCTGGAATCCCACTACAGCCAAGGAAAAACTCAGTCTTAACATGCACAAAACAACTTCAGAGGACTTCAGTGCAGGTGTGCAGGTAGAGCCAGGGACATTACTAGAGGCAAAGTAGTAGTTTAAGAGTTGATTGAGGACTGGAGAGATGGCTCAGCGGTTAAGAACACTGACTGTTCTTGCAGAAGACCCGGGTTTGAATCCCAGCACCCACATGGCAGCTAACAATTGTCCGTAACTCCAGTTCCAGGGGATCCGACAGCCTCTTCTATCCTCCTCGGGCACTGCACAACATGGGTGCACTTACACATAAAAAAATAGAAATAATGAAGTTTTGTTTTGTTTTTTTTTTTTTTTAAAAAAAGCATTGATTGAAAAAAACAACTTTCACTTTGGGTTAAAAGTAAGGAAAAAGAGGGGCTGGAGAGATGGCTCAGTGGTTAAGAGCACTGACTGCTCTTGCAGAGGACCCAAATTCGATTCCTAGCACCCACACGGTGGCTACGAACTGTCCTTAACGACAGTTCCGAAGCCCTCTTCTGATCTCGAGACACTGTACAACATGGGTGCACTCACATACATGCAGGCAATATACTCATACACATAAAATAAAAATAATAAATAAAATATTTTTTTAAAAAAAGGAAAAAGAAGATACATTAACATTTTAGCTTTGTAAGCAAAGGTATTTAAAATGACATCAGTGAATTACCATAGATGTAAATTATGATCCACTATAAACTTCAAGACATTATTAACCTTGCTCCTTTCTGCCTCCATCTAACTTTCCTGGCAAAAAACAGACCTACTTAAATTCAACAATTCATCTTCTCTGGACAGCTTAATATTGAAGAGGAAAAAGAAAAAAATCGCAATCTTGCTCACTACTGTGACTTTAAATTTAAGCCCCATATAGTAACACTCTCAAATTATTTTTCTTCTTTGTTTTCCTTTTGTTTTCCTTTGAGACAGTCTCATGTAGCCCAGTCTGGTTTTGAACCCATCATGGAGCCAAGGATGATCTTGAATTCCTGATCCTCTTGTCTCCACCTCTCCAGTGATGGGATGACAGTTGTGCACTGTCATGTCTGGTTTTAAGTGGTGCCAAGGCTCATGCAAGCTAGGCAAGCACTTTACCAATTGAACTTTATCTCCAGCCCCTAATGTCTATCTTTCTACCAGGCGGGAGTACTACTAAGGAGGAATAAAAATCTTGCACATAAGAGTGTTCAAGTTACAGCCATCACAAAATCTAGATTGGAAGACCAAAACAAGGGACTTTGTTCTCTTACTGGAATTTTTTTGTTGGGGCTGGGGGGTGGGGGAGGTTGCTGCCTGGCAAACTGGGAAAATGTTCTGAATCTTCCATAGCAATGCTCCCAATTGGAATCCAGCTCAGTAGTTAACACGAAACAATCAGTAATTAATTGGTCTTAATATGTTATAGAGGCAACTTCTGGCCAGGAGGAAATGCCTCAATTGGCTGCTGAAAACCAAAGGTTAATATGAAACAACATATTTGGTTTCTCTTCATTAGTAGAATTTTAATTCTCAAAAATAAGAGACTGGAGTGTAACTCAGTGGTAGAGTATTTGCTAGAATGCACAAGTCGTTGGGTTCAAACTCGAGTACCACTATCATCCTCCATACCAGAGAAAGCGAAAGAGAACAAGCGAGCGAGAGAGAAAGAGAGAATATAAAAGAAAATCTATGCAATAGTAAAGAAGTTACTGATTGGCTGTGTTAGTCTAACTCATTATTAAATGATACACAACTATTAAACAAAGGGCAAAGGCCTGTCGCTACTCTGTACAGAATTAAGAACAAACTGGTAAGACTACTTCGTATAGCTGCCAAACTTTCTTTAGCTTCTTTTCTAACAGACATGTTAAATTTCGCAATAGCCTCCACTTATTTACATCCTCCATGTTTAAAAACGAATTGTATTTGATTTCCTCAATCCATGTCCTAAGATATTATGACATCTCTTTAGTTTCTAAGTCTGGATACAAAGGAAAACACTGAAAAATGTTCAATTTCCTGAACTATGAGTCAATTTATTTATACTATTTAAAATGATGGGGCTGAGGACGTTGCTCCCTTGGTTGTCTAGCATGCACAAAGTCCTGGGTTCGATCACCAGCACAGCATGAACCAATAAAGCATGGTAATTCATGCCTGCAATCCCAGCACTTGGGAGGAGGAGGCAGAGGACCAGGCATTCAAGGTTGTCCTTGGCTACATAGTGAGTTCAAAGCCAATCTAGGTTACATTAACTGTCTCAAAATTAAAAAAAAAAAAAGGTGATAAAATATTTAAGAGGGTTGAGGGGTTGAGGATGTAGCTGCTCAGTTGGTAGAGTACTTGCCTGACATGCAGGAAGCCATGAGTATTTGATTCCCACAACTATATAAACTGGACATAGTGGCACACACTTATAATCACAGCACTTGGGAGGGAGCAAGAAGATCAGGAGTTCAAGGTCATCCTCAGGTATACCAGTTTAAGGTGTGCCTGGAATACCAGAGACCCTACCTCAAATAAATAAATAAACAAACAAAATAATTAAGGCTAAGCTCAATTATCCATTTAATAAAGAGCAAAAGTGAAAAGTCATATTTAATAAAACTTTTATTTTAGTTTGTTAGTTGTTTAGAGTGTCTATACAGACCTTCTACAGAAATTACACTACTGAAAACATTTAAACGTAGAGAACAAGTGAGTTTGCTGGAAAAAAATCTGCACATCTCCACAAAACTTTACTTAATATGACAGGACCCTCAGATATAGTCTAACACCCTCTGTTAGGTAGAAAACAAAATTAGGAAAGTAGCAACATGGGAATCAGGTAGGAGGTGCCCTGGGTGGTAAACACCCCAGTAGGAGAACATAACACACAATTCAGAGCAGCAAGTAAGTCCCTACGGGTCTCCAGCTTGGACGACCTAAGTCCCAAGCCCGTATCCCTGTGTTTCAGAAGAAATGAAACTTGGGAAGAGGAATACAGAGAAAAAGAACACCAGAGTCGCGTCCTATTTTTCTTCTCCACCCCTATCCCAGCATTCTGGCTGGCTGGTCACCAATCTGGGTGCCATATCCACCAGAAGCACTAAGTCAATATCCTGGCCTCCTTTCGATACCTAGGCTAAAAGACCTGAATATATCAGCTGTCTCCTTTCCAAATTCCTCCCCTACCCTCTCGACTCCCAGACCATTACCAAACCATGTCTTCGGGCAACTCAACCCACTCAGTCTTCCTAAACGCACGCACTCACTGAATTTCTCCAAATCCATACTTTATAAAACCATGTCTCTGATAATTCCCACGAATTCAACTGAAATGCCCTGACCCTCGTTTCCAATGCTCTACCTCCACGTTTCTTTCAGCCAAACACAACGCAGAGCAAGGGTTTTCACCCACTCCCACCTCCTATTACAATTTTGCAATGCCTAGCCTAACCCCACACTTTGGGAAGTCTTGATCTAGTTCAGCAGTGTTCCTCCTTCTCCTATTCCAAGATACCTCCATTAGGCTCCACTGGACTACGCTTCCCTCAGGATTCAATTCCCCTATCCTCGCCACGCCCTGTGCCCCCCGGGGCTACTTACCCCAAGTTCTCCCCACACTTCAGTCCTCTGGCCCCGCCTTCCTCCAAAAGGAAGGAGGCGGGAGAAGAGAAGAGGGCGGCAGTCCGCAAGGTAAAGGCGATCTCCCATTGGCGCTCATGGCCGCCATTTGTAGCGTCCTTCGCTCTTATTGGTTGGCTTTAGCCTACGCCCCACCCTCTTCCTCAGACAGGGCCCGGCCGCCGCCTCAGCGCCCCCGTCCAACACAGACTGGGAGGGGAGACCCCGGCCCCGGACGCTGGGGCTGGCGGGAGTGGAAGGGGGGCCTCCTGTCAGACCACGGACTAGCTAATGTTAACAGGACTCACCCGCTGGTAGCTCCGTCGCCTCCCGCCCGCCCGCGCTCGGTCCCACAATCTGTCTCCTGCTCCTCCTTTCCCCCCTCAGCGGAGCAGATACTTTCCTCCCGTCCGGCCAGGCGTATTCACCTCTCGCGAGAAGTTGGTGGGGGAAGACGAGATTCGTGGGGGCTGAGTTGGAAAGGGGCCTAGAGGCGGGGCTTGAGTGGAAGACTGAGCGAGCACTGTACACACGACTCACACGTGTTCGGCTGCAAAATCGGGGGTGGAAGGAGGGAGAAAAGCAAACGGAAAGGGAACTCTTCCGCGGCCGGTAGGTGGGGAAATCCAAAAGGCGAAGCAAATGCCTCTGGGGGAATGAGATTATCTCAAGAAGCATCGTTTGAAAATAAGATTATATATAAGTAACCTTACGAACGTGTGGAAGGAGAATAAGGGGATCGCTTCACTGCGTGGGCTCCTGGAATCGAACTCAGGTCGTCAGGCTTAGTGGCAGGTGCCTTTACGTGGTGAACTGAAGGTGGAGAATGTACAGGTTGTTTCTACTAGCCTTTAGGATCAGCACTTCCTGAACATCTATGTAATTTAAAATGCCCTTAGCTGGGACTGGAGTGAGTCTGTTGGGAAAAGCAGTCCACCTGCTCAGCAGGGCCGGTGTTTCCCTTCCACAGATCGAATGGATGTAAGAAGTTTCTCTGGGGCTACCAATCCCATTTTACTCAAATTTGTAATGACACAGTAAGATATATGAAACTGCCGGCATTTACAAAGAAAAAGACTGAGGAGAACTGAATCGGTAAAGTGCTTGCCATTTAGGGCAAAGAGGACCTACATGAGTTCCATCCCAGAACCCACGTTCAAACATGGGTGCTCCTGGGCTGGAGAAATGGCTCAGCGGTTAGGAGCACTGACTGCTCTTGTGGAGGACCCAGGTTCGATTCCTAGCACCCACATGGCGGCTACAAACCGTCCTCAACTCCAGTTCCATGGGAATCCGAAGCCCTCTTCTGACCTCTGCAGCATTTCACGATTCGGGTGTGCTCACATACATGCAGGCAATACACTCATACACATAAAATAAAAAGTAATAAAATATTAAAATATTTTAAAAAATAATTAAAAAAAAAAAAACATGGGTGTTTCTCTGGGCATGAGGGCACAAGCCTTTGATCCTAACACCCCAGGAGGCAGAAGCAGGCTGATCTCTGAGTTCAAGCCCAGCCTGATCTATATAGGGAGTTTCAGGCCAGCAAGGGCTACATAGTGAAACCCTGTCTCAACAACAAAACATAGGTCCTAGCCAGCCTAGTCTACTTGGCAAGCTCCTGTGAGAGACCCTGCCTCAGACAACAAAAAATAAAGGAGGTGGATAGCTCCTGAGAAACCATACCAGTGTTGTCCTCTGGCCTCTGTGCAACTCCACACATGTGTACCCATAAACACATAATGGTGCATGGTCACACACACAAAGCACTGTAGGGTTAGTGGTGTAGTTCAGTGCAAGACCCTGGGCTGGATTCTGTATGGCATGGCAAAAAAAAAACACCCAAAAAACAAAACACTGTATTTATTACCTAACAAGTACTTTACTAAAATGTTAACAGTACATGGTATGCAGAAAACCACAGTTCCAGTCATGTGGAGAAGAGCAGACAGACTCATTCCCTCCTCTGGCAGAATTTATATTTTAAAGTTGAGGGGAAAATAGGTCATAAGCCATTAAATACACTTACTTCAGAGAATGAGGAATGCTTCAAGACAGAAAGCGACTGGGGGTGGGGAAGAAATCACTCCTAGTGTTTGGAGAAGACCTCTTGAGAAAGCAACATTTTCTTTTTGTCTTTTTTTTTTTTTTTGAGACAGGGTCTCCCTGTAGCTCCAGCTGTCCTGGAACTCACTATGTAGACCAGGCTGGCCTCGAATTCACAAAGATCCACCTGCCTCTGCCTCCCAAGTGCTGGGATTAAGGCGTGCACCACCATGCCCAGCCCAAAAGCATCTTTTTTTAGACAGGGTTTTGCTATGTGGCCAAGCTGTCCTGGAACTCAACCTCCTGCTTCAGCCTCCTTCCAAGCATCTAAATTAACTCTGGGGACACTGTACCCTGCTGAAAACATTAAAAGCAGGGGCTGAATTATGAAAAGAGAACTTGGAGAAGATTCCCAGGTGAATATCAAATGTAAAAGCTACAAAAAACATTATAATATGTGGACCTAAGTCCAAGCCCAACAAGAGTGTCCTTAATAAAAACTGCCAAGAAAGGCCCAGAACTGAAACAGAACCATCTGATAGAAGAGCTTTGGAAATGTGTAGACACCTACAAGTACCTCTTCATCTTCCTATGGCCAACATGAGGAACCGCAAACTGAAGGACACCCAGAATGCCTGGAAGCACAGCTGGATGTTCTTTGGCAAAAACAAGGTGATGATGGTGACCTGTGGTAGAAGCCAGTGTGAGGAGTACAAAGGAAATCTGCCCAGCTCAGCAAGAAGTTGAGGGGTGAAGTTGGTCTCCTTTTCACTGACCACAAGAATGATTGTGTAAATGTTCACAAAATATACAGAAATGGACTTTGCCCTAGCTGGGAACAAAGCAACTTTCACTGTGAACCTGGATCCGGGGCCCCTGGAACAGTAACCCCACTCCATGGAGCCACAGCTGGGCTTGCCTATGGCCCTCAAGAAAGGAGTGGTGACCCTACTGTCCTACTATGAGGTGTGCAAGGAGGACGATGTGCTAACTAACCCTAGAGCAAGTC